CGGGACGCCTGGGGTGCTGCCGGGTTGGTCCCGCAGCCCCCAGGGGCAGCGCTAGGGGACCTACCCTGCAGCGCCCCAGCTGCTCTCCCTCCGGCTTCCCTGATTCAGCTGCTGGTCAGTTTTAGCAGCGGCTGAATAGGGGAAGCTGGGGGCAGAGTAGCTCCAATGGTCCGGCTGCCCGGAGTACTTCCGGGTTCCTGATGGTGCAGGACCATCAGAGTTTTACTGTAACTGACAGTTAAAAAAAATTTGGTTACGGAAATAAATTTTCATTAGCGGTGTGGACTTTTAAAATATTCAATGTGTTTACATACTTAAGTCTGTATTGTCATAGAAAAAATTAAAGTGCATAGCTAGCACTCAACAATGGAATGAGTCTGTTCACATGCATGTCCAGAAAGTTATCTAGCCAGCTATTTGGTTACAAGAGTTTACATTTGCTTTATTAAACAGATGATAAATCTGAGTTTGCTTGAAAGTTGGTAAGGTATGATGGAGCTTATAAATTCAGCATGTAGCTTGGCTGTGGGATTTAAAGAGTTTACATTACATCTTTGTTGCATAAGCTAATTTACCTTGTACAAGAAATCTAAGCGCTTTAATCATATATTCTATGCAGCTTGTAAAGTGTGCAAACTAATTGATACATGAATAAAATTAATGAAAAAGTTATTTATCTTTGATCGAGAATCTTGGACAACTTATTTACTGTCACTTCAGAAAGCAATTTATTATGGGTACACTCGCAACATTTTAACACAAGAAATTAATAAAACAAATAGCTCAGAAATTCAAGTTAAGAGAAAGTTCCTGCTATGTCCTTATAAGAATACATGAATCCAGAAGTAGTGATTTGTTCGCGTGATTTCTTTGGAGAGGTTTTCCATGAAAATGTAAAAAGTTATTCAAGATTTATTGTTTGTATTTAATACATATCTTTAAATATAGTTATGCAATGTGGACAAAGTAAACAATATAAGAATTTTCAAAAATAGGTGCCTAATGTTAGGCTTTTATAATCCATACTTGTGAATCTAAACAAAATGAACTTTTTGAAGTGATTGCTACTCAAATATGAACTTGAGAGCCTTGTAGTTTACAAAATCTTAAGGGCCAAGATTTTCAAATTAATGTATTTTTTTAAAAAAATTTTAGCTGTCTTTTTATGGTAGGGATGTGAAAGGTTAAGTGGTAAGCCTCACTTTGAACCAGTAAGCCTTACTCATTAAAATTAACCAGTGGGGGCTGGAGCAATTCCCTGCCTGCCTTCGGCAGGGGCTACTCCAACTCTGCATGGCAGGCCACAGACTTGCTCTGGCAGTCTGGAGCTGCGGACAGGGGCTGCTTGCAGCCCTCCCTTTCCGCCCTCCTACTCCCCCTTCCCCGGTCTGTTCCCCCTTTAATCCATTAACCAGTTAAACGGAATTTTACATCCCTACTTTATGGTAGTAGAGCAGACTTTCTGCTTAATGTAAGACTGAAGTTCAGTCATGCTATAGTAAATACCAACACAAAAGTAAATGCATGCTGAAAGGAAAATTATGGATTGTTTTCTGTCTTGTCTCGATACCTCATTTTGGACTCGAGATGTCTGATGTTTTTGTGGTGGGAAACAACAATTGAAGAATTAATTAATACTCTGTGGAACAAAAAAAGTTATGGAGATACTATGTTTGAAAGATTATTTTTACTTAAGATCAGAAGAGTTACAGCCACATACAATCACATTAATTCTCAAAACATGAATGTATTTAGTAGTTTCATGGACTGAACTCCACATCCATATATTACAGTTTGAATCAGAAAAACAATTCTGTACAATCTTTTTAATGGTTACATAATTTCCAGCAAAGTACTAGTGTGAAGTCAGGTGACAGTAGTGTCCTTTCAAGGTGCTAAGAATATACAAAGGAAATTGTTAGCAAGAAAGTTACAAAATTTCAAGCAACAAAACAAAAAACACACAGGGCACTAGTGAGAGAAAAATTAAATATTAAGTGTTTCATGAATTTAATGCTTTAAAACAGTGCTTTGACCAAGCAGGAAAGCAACAATGCAATTTAGGCTTTTCATTCTGCATTGAAATATATTGAAGATGGAAATATTCTATACACATTTAATCACATTTAAGAATACATATACTTGTTCCAGCTTCTTAAAGCATTTGGAGTACTTGATATTTTTCAAACATTTTCCCTTTGTAGAAGTTAGTGAGATTGTGCAATACTGGAGCAGTAGTCTAAGATGTCCTGGATAGTGAATTCCATTATAACACCTGATCCAGGATAGCAACGGGCTATCAAGCCTTCAAAGTGTTTGTACTGGCGTATAAACTCATCTTGCATAGAATGCCATACAACCTGCCAAAAAAGGAATTTAACCTAGAGTTAAATTTCATCAATATAAAGAATTCAGAAAAAACAAGGATTTTTTAGGGGTTTGGGTTGGTTTTTTTGAACACACAGAATCAATGCGTCACCTATAAACATTTATACAACTTCCAGCAAATCAAAATTAAAGTAAAAGATTTTTTTTAATATTAAATTGTTTTATCAGTTTAGTAGATAAAGGATTTAAGTACAAATATCACATCTGAGCAAAGTGTGAGATTTTACTAAATCCTCAGTGCAGTGGCTTAATTCTGCTTTAAAGCAGCAGTTCTCAAACATGGGGGTCAGGATCCCCTTTTTAAATTACATCAGCAATATTGTTCCCTCTAATTTTGTATGTGCAGAATAATGCGTTTTATGTGCACCAACTGTATCTCACAAAATACCATTCTGCACATGGACAAGCACAGCAGGGTTAGGGCTGAGGGCAACAGGAGGCTCACAGATGGGTCAGAGGATTGGGGTGTGGGAGGGTAAGTACTCTGGCTGAAGATAGAGACTCTGGGGTGGGGCTGAAGATGAAGGGTTTGGGGTGCACGATGCCCCAGGGAAAGAAGACTACTTCCACTCTCACTGCAGCACCTTGGGCAGGTAAGAGGAGCCTTTCCCCAAGCCACGGCAGCCTCAGGGCTTGGGGAGAGGCATCTTTCCCTCCCACAGCCCTGAGCCCCAGTGTAGGGCTTAATAGGCAATATGCATGGCTGCACAGTTTAGAGGGAATTTAGGTAACTAGGGCTAGTGTTACACTTAGTGTCCAAAGCCAAAGACTGAGCCCCCTACCCAACCTGGGCAATGGGTCTTGGGCAGATTCAGATCTGCACCCCTTCAGCTTGTAAATTTTGCTGTCAGAAGGGGGTTCTGGGGCAAAGAAATTTGAAAACTCTTGTTCAAAAGTCAACAAAAACTTTTACTACTAACTTCAACAGCAACTGAATTAGACCTCCATTGAGCATTTTTTAAACTCCCACTCATCGCACTGGAAAAGAATTAATTGAAAGCATTCTGTGCCAAAACATGGATACCAATAGACAAATTTACAGATCAGACAAGTGGTCCATCTATTCTGATATCTCCCAGACTGGCCAGCACCCCAGATGTACAAAAACCCAGTAATGAACAATCAAAGAAGAAACTTCCCGTAGAGCCAAACTCCTGCTAGTAGTTGATTCTGTTTGTCAAAAGGAATAAAGGCAATTGGATGTGAATACCCCTTTAACGGAACACTCAAAACATTCCAAGGAGACTCATGCAGGGCTCCAAACCCACACAGATTTTCAGAAGAGTTGTGAAGCTCAAGGGGCATCCAAGTGGGAATATGCAGAAAAAGCACTCCAAAACTTATAATGGCAAGTTAATTTACTTTATGATAGCTTCCAGAATAAAGATGTAGTCTACAGAGAATTCTTTTGGTGCACATCAAAATGCTCATTTTCTCTGATTCTTGTGAAGCTTAACTTTAAAGAAGTAGACTTGAGGCTATTCTACTATTTGTAGAATATTTTAATGCTCGCAAAAACAATTTTTTATATAAAATCTGATCGTTTTACCTGAAGTAAATTTTCTTCTTCACAAAGATGTTTGTCCACCTTCTTATATAGATTATCCAATCCCTTCTTCACTTCCTTACCAGGATATTCCTTTATAACTTTACGAAGCTCTTGTTTATTAAAAGCCAATTGGTAGCTTACTTCCTCTTCTCGTATGCCTTGTGCCACCCGAGCTTCAACACCCTCAAAGAAATGCTAAGATAAATTACAATATTAATATAGTCATAAATCTAGGATAGTGAATATAATCATGGGATGGTATGTCTTGTTTCCAAATGACCAAAAAAGCCTCACTTAATTAAACAATGCTTATTTACATCAGCTAAATATAGTTCCACCCTCTAAAACAGAGCTCACCACCACCACCACCACATTAGAGCATTGGTTAATTAACAATTCAGAAGGAAAAGTGTAACCACTCCTTGCAGTTCCTGGATTCTCCCTTGAAGGCTTTTGTCAAGTGATGATCTAGCTTAAAACTAAAAAGATCCTTGTCTGAAAAGAGATGGCAGAAGAGCCCTGGATGTCTAAAGCAGAAAAAATTAAAAAAAGCAATAGTGATGCACATGGAGTACAAGATTCCAAAACATGCATTCCAGAGAGGCACAGGCCTACAAAATGTATGTAATGAACTTCAAGTTATAACTAAAAAAATTTAATTATATGAGCAATTTCACAACTGTAAATAAGTATTTTCTAAAAAGCTATAATGAACTACAATCCTAAGTATAGCAAAAACAATTAACAATATCAAATATTTTTTATATGGACCACTGAAATATCTTACATGTCCCACTAGATCATCGAACTGATTAGCTCAACTTAAAGCAAAATGTGCTGCCATATATATGATCTGGTTTTGGCAATTAAATGAGCACTAGGGTTTTTTTAAAAAAAGTAATTTAGAAACAGGGTGATAATGCTTTTTTCACGGTCACTGGTGTGGGCAACAGCATCCCCCCAAGTTCCTAATTAGTGATGAAAATTAGTGTTGGAAAAGAATACCTGTCCCCACATGAACATCTGAGTAAAAAAAAAAAAACTGCGATATATTAGCAGTCATGGAGATGTTAAATCATTGTCAGGAGGGGAGAGATGAGAGCCCTTTGGCAGGTAACAGAATAAGGAGATGGCACAAGAAACAGCACATTGTCACACTTCTGGTGCTGCACACTTAAAACGTACAAATTAGTTTTGGGAGAAAGGCAATTGGAGAAAGACATTAGAAATACAATTAGACCAAGAGATGCTTACGTTTAATTTCTCAAGAGGCTGTCCCAATGAATAGATGACGTAAGACTGCAGATGGTCAGTATATTTCTGTTTAGCTTCTTTTTTTTCTGCCTCAAGACATGAGATTTTCAAACGAGAGAGAGTTGCAAAAATATGGTGGAAGTTCTCCATCATGACCACATCCCTGGGTGTTTTCTGGCTTTCATTGGCTACTTTCTCCACTAAAAGTCAAAACAGTAAAAAGATTCCATACAAAACATTTCTCTAGAAAGATTACCTTCTTAGGGAACTGTGTGGGATAACACAAAAGTGAAGATTTCCTACAAGTTACATCCTTTTAAGCATAGACTATGATCAAATTGATGACTTTTGTACTTGGCAAGTCTGCCAAAATTATTTTGATTGCTGAATAAATGAATACATGAAAATATTCATAGCAGCAGTCATGAATTAGAACTGAGACTACATAGTTCTACTTCTTACATACAAGGTATAGAGACTAATTTATGCATACTATAATAGGATATAAGGAGGCAATTTCACATACATTTATTTATATAACATCCTTTTGTTTAGCAGAGGATTCATTACTTTGTAGAAATTTACAAACATAACTTACTGCCTTTTAAAGATACTCATGCACTGTAGCAAAACTTGAAAAAAATTACACGAAAATTATTTATTCTTAAGTCTCCCTCTGCTGTTCTTGATGATTTTTGTGTTGTGATACAAGCTCTATTCTGTATTGCTCAACTTTTCTCATCACAAACCATTTTTACTCAGGACATCAGTGTCTATTGTCTAAGTTATCTTGTTCTTCCAGTCTCTTTTTCAATCAGGAGTGCCCATAAAGTTGTCCCACTGATACCTTCGATGGTGGAAGCACTTCTGTTGTCCACAGAGCAGGCCAGTGCTAGTATACATTTCTGTATACTGCCCCATCACTGTGCCTCAATTTAGTTCTAGGTCATCACTCTAAGTAAAATACATGCAGTCCCCGGGTTACATGGATCCCCCCAGCAGACCAGGGAGACGTGGAGCGGCTTTTCTCAGCAGACACCTCAGCTTGAGAATAAAGGACTGAGGGAAGTGAGGTGTGGGAGAATAAAACTGAGCTCTGGAGAAATGTTTGGCTAGAGTTTCCCCTACAATATGTACCAGTTCTGACTTACATACAAATTCAACTTAAGAACAAACCTACAGTCCCTATCTTGTACGTAACCCGGGGACTGCCTGTAGTAGTAAAGTTTCTTTCCTATTAACCCATTAGCCTTTCCATTGAACCTACCAACACGGATGCCACTTCTAATAGTAATTTTTGTAATATGAATTCCCATGAAAATTAATGGAGATCTTTAATTTATTTCTAGAAAATTAATGGAAACCTTTAATTCATTTCAGACAGCCCAGTGAATGGTCAATTAGGAAAAGAAGTCACTGTCAATTTTTGTCTTCCTCTCTATCCAGAGCAAGGCAGATACAGATATCTTTCTAAGCAGCCTTGACCACTTAAAAATCCCTTATGGATTATGTTCAAACTCCTCACAATCAAGACCCTGCCTATACTTGTGCTATCATTTTGTCTTACTATCACCCTCAGTCATCCTATTTCTTTTGTCTTTTTTTCCCCATTTGTAGTTCTGTGCTTTTTTTAAGGCTTCTCCCAACAGATTTGGAGCAATCCATGCCCTCTTTTCTGCTAAGTATCCTCTCACTAAAAATGCACTTCTTTGTATCCTTCACATCCTGATGATCTCACCAATATTACCACCACCTTCTCCTCTGCCTTGGATTATAAACTCTTCAACTGCTCACTTGTTTTCTGATGTTCTACATACATTTTTGATGCTATATAATTCAGACTGATGACAAACAAAAAGGTGAAAGTCTCAGTATTCAATTGCAATCTCCAAGCTCCTTTGCAACTTTTACGGCATTGAATAGTTTGTTTTAAAAAGGTCAACTCAGTAACAGACTATATGTGCATATAAAAAAAATTTAAAAAGAATATACATTTTAAAATAAAATGTAGAATATTTGTCCCCTATCTGCCATTCAGAACCACGAATACTGACCATAACAAGTGAGTGAAAGGGAAATTACTTTTCAAATAATCTGATTTAAATAGATGCATTTTTAATGCTTAAGTTCACTTTGGTGTCAAAGGTTTACAACAAGATTTTTTTTTTTTATGAGTAAATGCACTTTTCAAATTTTGGGTATTAGGATGCCCAGTAGAGTGCTGCTATCTGTATCTGCAACAGTGCTGCTTTATCTGCAGGATAAATATTTTCTGCCAAATTGCATCTCTCACTGGCCAGTTTAAGGAAAACTATTGTTAATTTCTATGGAACTACAGATTCTGCCCTCCCAAGTGGAGGGAAAAAGTAATTCATGCAGACAAAGAATGGCTTTTGTGGAAGTATGCTGGGCATTGCAATAGACCTTACCATTGATGAAAACACTTCGAATAAGTTTTATGTATGCTTTATCTAAATCTCCTCGACGCTCCGCATTCTTGAAAATAGATTCAGCAAGTGCTGCAAACTCTTCAAATTCAGCAACAAATGTAAGGATACCAACTTTACTCTTCTTTGATATCTTTACCTCCTCCATCTGTTTTATTTGATTACTCTTAAATTACAAACAAAATGGTTAATTAGTCCGTAATATTTCTCTGAAACTTGGCCTGAAAGAAATAAGAAAAATTCTCAAACATTGAAAAACAAGTAATTTCAGTCATATGATAAGAGTTGAATAATTTTCCTTCTATCTTTGTGTATGATATTATAGGCTTTTAAGTCTTTTTACCCAAACCTTTAATAAATTAGGATGACACTGAAAGAATACTGAGCATATGAAATCATTTTCCTTCCTCATGATTTACCTTGTTATATTCTGAGTCCTGTTACTTTCAATTGGTGATTCATACCAAAAATTAGAAATATCAACATAGTTGTTTATAAGTTGTCTTAAAATTTAAGACAGGAATCAAAAATTATTTTCTTCCCTTATTTAAGCTCTTATTCAAAAGTTGGATTACCAGTAAATTCTGTCTCACTTTCTTATCTTGGCTAGATCTACACCAAAAACTACTGTTGGCATAATAATGTTAGTTAAGGAGAAGATGTTTGCAGTTTTTTTGAATGACATATACTGGCACAAGTCCTAGCTAGATGCAATTATATTGGCAAAAAAGTCCAAATGCAGAGATAGCTTATTTTAGACATGGGACGGATTTTGCCAGTAGAAGCTGGCAAAAACATGAGGTAGTTTGCTGGTATAATTATATCAGCAAACCTTTTCTTATCGTAGACTAGACATCTGTCTATTTCACACATTTTTTTATTTGGATATTCATCTTAACTATCATAACTATATTCGTTAACAAACCAAGTTTTGTTCAGCAAGTCCGGTGACCTGACAGGTAAAGTCTCTTTGCCTTGCTCAAGGCTGTAGTTTCAATGAGATTAGCAAGAGGAAAGTAGCCAGTATTTGGCTCTGAAATACTAATGATCTGAGTTCTCACAACTGACTGCATTTTTCCAATTCCTTCTTCAATGTTCATTTAGACAGAGCCATGGGCCCCACAGCAAGGTGTACGGATGGGTGTGGAGGGAGCGGCTCTGTGCACCTAGAAAGGGTGGAATGCAGGGAAGTCAGCCCAGAATGCACTCCCCTTTGCCCTCTACAGCTCTCAGAGCCGTGTGGAGAGTTGGTCTGGTAGCAATTCAAAGGGACCCAGAGCTCTGGCTGCCACCATTGTTGAAGTAGCAGCGGCGGCAGCTAGGAGCTCCATGCCTCTTTGAATCGCTGGGCCCCGGTGTAACTGCCCCCTTTGCCTTCCCAAACCTCCCCCTCCATTGTCAGGCCTGGACAGAGCTAACCACCAATTACTGATACATTTTTGTAAGTCCATCCAAATTATTTTGTGTTTATTTAAAATGCAATGGTGGTAAGACTTTCTCCACTTTTAGGTTAAATATCTTTGGAGTTAAGATTATCTGACATTTAAAAAGGCTAGCAGTTGGTCTCCTTTAATATTATGATTAGTTTAAGTAATTAAGAACTTACAATGCATTTGTCAAAGTTCCTTTTGACAGTCACCAAAACATTTCCAAGTGTTGTGCTGAGGAAGGAAGCTGGATCCACATTTTGTGCTGTCCATACGTGGTGACTCATCTTAACTAACATATAAAGGGAATTAAAGCTATCAATCTTGTCACCCAGAGCTATAAGGTTATTCAGTTCTGGCTCAATACAGCGAAATATTTTTATCATCATCTGTCGGATCATGTCTTTCCTGTTAAAAGAAATAAAAATAAAAACATTGAGAGTTTACTGGGCTACATTTTCTTTCATCTACATTTTAAGAAAAATGTATGGATATTTAGCAGTCTCCTTTCTACTTAATTAGTATGCAGGTTTTCAGGGGATGGAGCTAAAAGAAGAACGAAATAATTTTTGCCAGCTCTTAACAGAACATTTCCAAGGCCAAAAAAATACAGTTTAACTACATTTTAAAATGTTTTTCTTTACCTAGCCTACTAGAACCAAGAAAGTCTATTTGATTTCCAAAAGAGTCTTCCACATGCCTAAAGTTCAAACTTCTAGGTATATTTACAAAACTAACAAAGGAATGGGTTTCTTTATAAATTTTGTTACCGACAGTTTATTGATTTCTTATTACACTGTTTTATATCATACCCAAACTGACACATTTAACTCCAATACATTTAAAATTAAGTATAATATATACAAGTTAACTATTCAAAATTTACCGAAAATGTAGATATCATTAATTTTAACTTCAGGAAACGGCAATAAAATTAATTGACAATTCATCACTATGTAAAAGAACAAATTAGAGATGTATACTTCATTAGAGAAAAATAAATCTCTGGCCTCAAGACTCAACAATGGTGAAACATCACATACTCAGATGATATAGCTTGTGGAACAGCAGAATTATGAGACCGGGATAAAATTCCTCCATCCATTTCCTCTGCTTCATTCTGCAAGAATTATGCAGGTATTTTACATAAATACAAAACTTAAAAGCAAGTAGTTAATTACATGATATCCCTATCAAACTAAAATTTTGTTTTCGACTGGTAAATTATCAACAGCAGTCATTATTTGAAGATGATATTTACAATAGACACACAGATACACATTCTGTTTCAAGACAACTGGGCGCACTCTTGGCATAACATTCTGACACATTACACTACACCTTATCAGGTGGTAAATAGAACGTGCTCCACGACCCTCCCTTCTACTCAGAGTTGTTTATTAACTCGGGTGTAGACAAAGAACTGAAGGCGGAGGTGGCTGCCTCGCGAGGCACCAAGCTTTCAGTGGCACGAGGTGCCTCCTGCGCGTGTGTAGTCCAACTGCCATCTGCTAAGAAAAGCTCCAAACTGCAGCTCCAGGGACCACCTGTCACCAACAGAGGAGCACCCATTGGGGGGAGAGGGGGGGCGGAGGACACCTCAAAGAACAGTCATTACTGCACAAAGTGAGTAACTTCCTTATTAAAAAAACCAACATTTCCTATTAAAGATTTTGTCACAGTTGTAAGCTCTTCAAAACAGTGTCCCACTGTATGATATTCTGCTGATCGTTTTTGCCATGCCTTACCAACTGTTAGCATTCATAAACTAATAAAAAACACCTTATAATAAATTATATCAAATGCTACTGAGAGTACAGCATGGATATTTGATCTTTAAATATCCCCAGAAAAAGATCACCCACCAAAGCCACAAGTGTAGCCTGTGCCATATCCAGATCTGTATTCAAATTGACATGATCAGTGGCAATAACTCACTTGAACTTATCTCAGCAATGCGTTGGCAAGAAATGGGAAGGTGGAAGATTAAGTATTGGGAATATTTGGCCAGATTCAAACAAGTATCCAGCTGGTGCTGATAACTACAGTCACACAGCAGTTTTTTTAACCAAAGCTCAAGAACTTACTAGCTGAAGGAAAGTACTGACAAGCTCCACCTCAGGGCTTTCCAAGCATAGACTGTAGTACTTACCCAATATCAACACTATTGTAACATCATTACCATACCTCAGTTTTTGTATATCAACAAGCAACAACAGACTAAACTTTAAAACTATGGGTGAAATCCTGGCCCCATTAAGGCGGAGGCAAAACTACCAATGACTTCAACAGGGCCAACATTTCATCCTTAACATCTGTGCAGTCTATTCACAGAAGAGGACTATTTAATCAGTCAGCTTGATTTTCTTGACAAAGTAACATGATGTTTCTTCTTGATAAGGACTTGTATCAAGACAGGAACAAGGACATCCTCAAGTAATCAGGTTAACTTTTATTCAAAGTAAGTCCCTTGACACCTATCATGAGACTGTCCTCAAGGGCAGTTGCACATACAAATACATATTTAGTTTTCTATTCAGTTGTTCAGCTACCTGTTTGTATGTACAACTCCTCAAATGTGTATGAGCAATCATGGAAATAATACAATACAGGTTAATGTCACTCTCTAAACTTATTCTAGGTAATTTAGCTCAGCTGTAGAGATTAATCAAGCTCTGCTAGAAACCATTTTAGTTTGAACAGCTTAAAATGGTTACATGATCATTTCTTCATTTTAGATGTACTGGACCAATTTTGAGGGTGGGAGTGCTGAGCTATGCAACCCACACCACCTTATTCCATCCAAGACCCTCACCATGCTGGACACATTGGAGTCAGTCGAGGGTGGCTGGGGAACCCTGGATTCTGGACTGACCCTGAGACAAGAGCTGGCATCTGGGACCTTGGTGTGGGGTTCAAAATCTAGGATGGATGCCACAGCATCCCCAGTACTCTAATTCTCACATCCATGCTTCATTTAGCAATGCAGTTTGCGTGTGTTTAGACAAATCTTCCTCACACAGCTAAAACATCTCTTGAAACAACTGCACTGTTTAAGTATAATAATTTTCTTAAACACTTAAGAACTAGCATCTCATATGAAGGCTTAAGAAAACTTCAGATGTTTTGAAAGTCCAACCATTTTAGAAGATACAGGAAGAGAAAATATTTAGAGTGAAAAGAATCACATTCCTCTGAGAGGAAAAAAGAAAAATGTGTGATTACCAAAAGAATCTCACTAATAAGCATAATAAAATACCAGCAGTTGCAGAACTGTTTTCTGAAAATGTTCCTCAACTCACAATGCACTATGAAGGTTTACCTTTATTTCATACACATAGCTATAAAGGTTTTCTACAGTCTAGGTTTCCCCCCTTTTATTTATAACCAATATTTCAAAAATGTTTCTTAGCACTTCAACAATATATTTAGAAAAAATTCAAAATAAAGGGGTCTAATTTACAAACTTGTCTTATTCCCCTGCTTAATTATAAAGTAAATTCAAGACTTCTCTTTACTATAATAATAGGGGAAATGGATTTGAGACATTCTGACAAAAATCCATAATGCACTCTTGACTTCTTTGATATTTACTTGCAAACTACAAAAAATCTGGAGATTATCATTCACACTTGAGAACCTGAATTTACAAACACATATGCATTTGAACAATTTTATTCATATGAATAGCTCCAATGATTAAATGGAAGTAAATGTGTATTTGTAGCAAATTAGGCCTTCATACTCACAATATTAGTTCAATGCCTAATGCAACAATTTTGTAGTTAAAGACCATTAATACATTATATATTATTTTAGCTAAATTTAGTCATACCATAATTGTTGCAGGCATGCTTTGATGCTGCTGTAGTTTGAAGAATTTGCTAATGAAGTCCTGTTCTGCCAGACAGAGGGGTTCCAGTTCGCTTAGAACTTGTTCAAAGATCTAAAGTAAACCAAAATAATTTGATTAAAAATACACACCTGACCGACCCTCTCAATGCACGGTAGCCAATTATAACAATATTCTTAGCTTTAATTAATTTTCTATTGTCTATGTGACTAAGAACCACTCACTGCCAACAAGCAAAGGGCTCACTCTTCTGTAACAACTCCTAACATGCCTAGACAATTGCACCTAGCACACTATAGTCATAGTATATATCCATATCAAATATGTGAAGTCTTCAATTAAAGCTGGATTTGCACTTGTCACTAATATTGTGAAACATATGTGTAAATAGCAGGCAAAAAATTAGGACTAGGGCTACGATTATGTCATGTAATCCTTGACTTCCAGAGATTTGAGACATTTTCTGCCTGGCACCGTCAGGGGACACAGCTCTCAGGTGCGTCTGACAGAAGGTCCCCAGCAGCTCCCAGCCTTGTTGGGCAGCCTAGGAACCCTCCCACAGCTCTAGCCGCTGAGAGCAACAAGGATCCCTCTGTAGCTCCAGCCACCAAGAGATAGAGGCAGCAGTATAGGGGCACAGTCAGTTCTTCAGGAGCCCGTGTGCACAGGAAGCTGGCTTTTAAGCAGACTCCCTGCACATGCTGCCTTCCATCTGCCCCTCTGCGCTGCTTCCTCTAATACAGAGGCCCTGGTTCCAGCTCTGGCACAGCCATGCATCCTTTCCGTTGCAGACAGTATGTTCAGGACAAGGGAGCAGAGCCTTCACAGCCATGAGTGTCCTGGCCTTTATCAGTACCAAAAAGGATCAGGTTAGAGGTCCCAGGGAGCCATACTGGGTGTCTCCGATATACACCCCTCCTCCAGCAGGGCCCTTACTTCTCCCGTCTAGTGTCCCCTGCCAGCTTTGGCCTGCACCAAGGGTCTAGCTACTTCCCCAAGTCCAGTGCTGCTGGCTGCAGAGCCCCCAGGTCGGAATTGTACAGGGGAGCCAACCTCCCAGACAAACCAGGTCAGGGGGGCTAGTACTGTGCAGCTGTCGGGTGGGTGCTGAAACCCTGAGACGCGCACAGGCTGAGTGACCCTGAGCCTCTAGACCCCAAATGTTAACAGCCTCGGGAGGAACACTCGAGCCACTAGAAACATGCGCCTGTCCCTTGACCCTCAGACACCTCCAATCCCATGCATGTGTCAGGGACTGGGCTATTTCCAAGCCTGGCAGGGCAGAGGCATGGTCTCTTCGTGGATATGGAAGAGCAGTTTGCTGTGCAGCAGGAAGACTGTGCGGAGCCCAGCACGGCAGCCTTAAAGCAGCTGCAACCAGAGCAGCAGTGCTCAGCTGGCGGCTGGAAGGCAGCACAGGACTAGGTGGGGGGGCAGGGGGGGCTCTGGTGGAAGGGCTAATATTGGGGATTGGAGGGAGGCTCTGGGGGGTTGGGTGCAGTAAGGATCTTGAAACATGAGGCTGGCAATAGTGGAATCTGGTGGCGCTCTTAAGTGGTGGGGGGCTGGCACTGGAAGATACGGTGCAGGGGACTCTAGGGCCAATAGCTGGCACTGGGGGGTAGTAGAGAGGTGGGGGGCTCTAGGGATTAGGGCTAGCACTGGGGGACCGGCAAACCCATTCACAAACTTTTGGAAGACAGGTAACATTCTATTTGAAAATAAATAAATATGCAAATAAAATTATTGGCAGACTGGCAACATTTGTGAATGGGTTTGCTGGTCCCTGGTTATCAAAAAAGTTGGAACCATTGATATAACTGATTCTCTGCCTCATTTTTAGAAAGGTATTAAGTTCACAATGTATTTAGTTTTGCAAAACAATTTTGGTAAAAAAAACTGTCCTCTATCCATTGAAAAATTGTCTCTATATACTGGTTTATATTTTTAGATCTATCTTTACAAGAAATAAAGCCAGAGACTGACTTTGTTTAAATCACAGCTGGGGATTCCACTAATCGTTTGGTGCCATAGTTCGAGGCAGACAAAACTGATGTGCCAGTGATGTTTAAAGGGTTAACTTTAGAAATTGGTATTTAAATTATTCGTTGATCTTGTGAACACTTCTAATCACAGGATTCCTGAATTATGATACCTATGTAAGAGGTCACTTCATATTTGGTAGAAAAAAAAATACATATATGTTCATCCCAGACTTAACTTACCAATTTTTTTTGGTCAAGATTCCTTTGCTTAGGATCTTTTGAGGGGGAGGGGTGACAAAACTGGGCTTATAATGAAAATAACCACACCCTTAACAATGCTTAAAGTTAGTCTCAACATAATTAATTCTGTTACAAAGTCCTGAGCAGATACACAATGAATATCAAATTTAAGTTCTGACATGTATTCATTCTAAAATAATTTAAAGCATATTATCTGTGGATTCCCATGCTCTATTGAAAATTTTCAGACAGTAAATAAGTGTAGATTCATGACAAAGTTAAAGTTTAGAAGGAATATTATATTAAATATTTTTGTTTTACCTTATCAAATTTCGTTCTATCAGCCACATCAAGGTCAGAGGCAGACATGTTTCCCATATCCAACAGTGAGGATGACTGAGATCTGCGATTTCCTGAACTTTGAACAGAAAGCTTATTTAGGCTAGAAGTTGACCCAGTCAATTTTCCAGAACTTCCATGAAGACCTATGAAATAACAAAACTATAAATGACAACGACCTAGGTGTTATACATTTGAAAAGAGCAATGCAGATATAGCCAAAACATCACTTTTAGTATTATAGAGATTGTAAATATTCTTTCTAATCAACAGTTTGTGCCTAACCTGTAAGTTGTTTTATTGTATACACATGTTTCTTCATTACAAGGCTATCTGGAATATTTAAATGTTTTTTCAGAGTTCATTACAATGCAGTTGTTACCTTAATCTACATATGAAAACCGACATCAGCAATTACATTAAGCATCTCATACCTGGGGCCAACATATATAAAAAATAGACTGCGTTAGATACTCTCCTTTCTGAAAGGAAAGCTAAATGGGAAAACTCCAGCTGTGATGCTTTAAGAGCATCTTCCAGTAGCACACAGAGAAAAGACACACACTGGGGAATTAATTCTGAAAGGAAAATATGAAAGCAAACTCTTGAGTATCTAAAGATACTCTCCAAATTTTTTTGATTTGCTTTTTCTATAGATATCACTCCTTTGATGACAGCTGGGAATGAAGTAGGATGGTGGTAGACAGGGGAGCACTTGCTATGATGAGACTCCCTCAGTACAAAACAAAGTTAAGAAAAACCATCTCCTATATTCAAACTGTATGTAAAACTGCTGTGGTGAATCTTCCTGAGTCTCAACAACAGAGAAACGAATTATTAACGTTCATCCTGTATGCTCCATCAGATAAAATGAACAACTACATTCAACATCATTGGGATGTATTTTGCTTACAAATACTTATTTCCACAATGAGCAGTCAGCTTTAGGGTTTATGGGTTTTCCCATTATATGTAAATACATCAACAAAGACACACATGCATTGACAGTACCTACTAATACACTAGTCATACTCACTCTCAGTTTCCTGTTTGACAGCACTTTCTTTTCGAGGCAGTGTAGCTGGCATGGATTAGGTTGCAAGCATCAAAGACAAAGACAAGTTAAAAATGCAGTTTGCACAAACCATGCACAAGATGCAAGTTAAGCACTAGCTGGAAAGAAACATGCAGAGAACTATAAGCAGCAAGTATCTACAGTTGCAAACACACTTAGTTGGGGAGGTACTGTTCTAGAAATTCAGTATCTAGCTACATGGAAAACACAGTTATGTTTAAAAATATTAAACTTCCTATTTTTCTTAAAAGAAAATGTGTAAGAAAACCCTGAATTGTTAAACAGTTTTACATCAAATTCTCTTTAATATAGAAAGAGCCACCAAAATCCTGAGTCTTATTTGCAAAGATTGTTATTGGACAAGATTCACAGTTTATAGAAATATTGTGCAAATAAACTGTAAGTAATATTGATATCAAAGAGAAATACAAAAAACAGATTTTATCCTGTGTAGATTTGTACTAAATGGGGGCTAGCTACATCACCTTCCAGCTCTATAACAAAAAAAAAAATCTAATACTGCAAAAGTCCTTTCCATAATAGTCTTTTCTCCTATAAGAACAGGAAGCCTATTGTATATGCTGTTGTTGACAATTCATTTTCACTATGAGCAATGTTTTTCATTCAGAGTGTATCAAGAATTTCCCAATTTGCAGATACCAGTCTAAGAAAATCATCATTACCAACAAAAACATTCACATAAAGATGTAAAGAATTTTTAAAAGATTTACCCCTGAATATCCTGGTTTCTGAAAAATAAAATAAGGCATGTCCTCAAGCAAAAAACTATAAGAAATGTAGAATACCATGACAGGCTAATATTTCCTCGTATTTGTGGTACACATTTAAAAGTCACCAGTGGAAAGCACTTGCGCACATGCTCTAGAAGCAAAATGTGGTATTATTCAACAATTCTTGGTGAGCATGGATTTTTAAAGCTACAACTGCAAAACCACCAAATAGTTACTTATCTGTAGAGTACCTGTTGCTCTTTGAGATGTAAGATGTGTTGTGCACATGCATTCCACTCTAGGTGAATATGCACCCTCTCCACTCAAGTTCAAGACTTCTGCCATTCTTACCATTTAGATGCACATGTGCTCCTGCTCACCTCATGCTCACAGGTGATGGCACAGAATAGGCATATGCCTCCTGCATTCCTCTCCACTACTTCACACTGCTTTAGGTAAAATCCAAAGCAGCAGGGAAGATGGGAAGGCTGTGGAATATAAATGTGCACAACATACCTCCAAGAAAGAGAGATACTGTACAGGTAAGTAACCTTTTTTCCTCCTTTGAGCAATTGACACATACATTCCACTGGATGACTCCTCCTCAGACATCCCCTAACAGATAGGACATAGGGACTGACTTGCAAAGTTGGCATCATCTCAAGGGGTATGAATCATGGTGTAATGAGTGGGAAAAATATGAACCAAAAACCACCTTGCTGCCCTGCACACAGCAATGACTGGAACACTGCTCAGGAATGGTGATGTGGTGGACTGAGACCTAGTGGAGTGAGATGATATTCTCAATAGAGGAAATGCTTCATAATCAGAAATCCAGCAAGAGAATTAATATAATGCAAAAATAGAAGCCAGGTCAACTCTCAGAACTATTTGAAAGATCAGCACACTGACTAAAGCCTCATATGTAGAGTTACATATTTGCAGGAAGCCCTATGGCTGAAGCGCTTAAGACAAGCATGCACTAATGTTTTTGGATTAGACTTGAAGTTTTTGGAAAGAAGGCTAGAGACTGATACTTCTTGTTTGGAAGATAAGCCATGACAGTCCCAGCACTGAAGTGGATTCCTATGAATGTTATGGATTTGAGCTGGTTATAATTGTGATTTGTCCACATTTAGTTTCAGACCTAAGCAGGAGAACACTCGTCTAATGACAAAGATGCTATTATGGGCCTGGTCGCTTGATGTCACACGAATCAGCCAATCATCTGGGTAAGGGAATATTTGACTATCGAAATGAAGAAGGTGTACTGCTACCACCAATATGGATTTGGTGAAGATGCTCAGGGCTCAAAACAGATTAACGAGAAACACAATGTACTGATAACCCTTTGTGCCTACTACAGACTGAAGGAACTTCCTGTAGCAGGGACAAATTACCAGTGAAACTATATGGGTACGTCTAGACTACATGCCTCTGTGGCCAGAGGCATGTAGATTAGGCTACCAGACATAGGAAAATGAAGCGGCGATTTAAATAATCGCCACTTCATTTAAATTTACATGGCTGCCGCGCTGAGCCAACAAACAGCTGATCAGCTGTTTGTCGGCTCAGCGC